AGTAATATCCCAGTTAGGCCCAAAAAAATAAATGTTGTGGTTCCGATTTCCTACATTTCAGAACTAGGGTAGGTATTTAGGTGTTTGGGGTTTTTTTGCAAAATATTTTTACATTACTCATGTGTCAGAAAATAAATTTAATTTATTATGTGGTGAGTAAAATTGTTAGGCTCAGCAGGTATATTTAGGGTCGGTCGGGAAATCAGAACCAAAAGCTTTTTTTTTTAGGCCTTATATGGAAGGAGTCTGTAAATAATCGAGTAAGGATCAGACAATCCAGTGATCAACAGTGTGAGCATCAATCTACACAATTGGGATACGATGACATGTGTCAAACAAGTCAGCAAGCCTGTCCACCCAATCCCATTAGTCGCCTCTTAAGACAAGCTTGGGTTGCTGATGATAAATTCAAACCCGGGTCTTCACAAGCCACTTGTGAGGAGTGACACATTTATAAATGGACTACTAACATAAATAGTATTCTGAACAAAATTTAGAGGTAGCTCATAAAAACTCGTTTGTATTGTGTGCATAAATTAAAACTATATGTGATCACTAAAGTGTATGTAAACTATTACTGATGACACAATTTTCATATCTATAATCACAATAATTTTTCTCATCATCAATATTTCTGATTATTGATCATGTTTAACTTCATGAAGTTTGACAAGAAAACCAGTGAGTAATATTTTGAGCAAAATCCCATGCCTTTTGTGCAAAGTGACACATAGTCAACTCACAGAGCCTCAACAAACAATTGACTGCCTCTGTGGTGTAGTGGTTAGAGCCTCCGCCTGGAGAGCGGAAGGTTGCGGGTTCGATCCCAGTCCGCGTCATACCAAAAGACATTAAAACATGGTACTTGTTGGTCCCTGCCTGGCGCTCGGCATTAATGGGTACAACAAGGACTGGTCGGCTCGGAGTCAGTATAATGCGGCATGGTATCTCAGTGGGCTAGCACTATAAAACCAGCTTAAGTTTGGGCTAGCACAAGCAGCCCCAAATACACATACACACGCATGCACGTCGTCATATGAGCTAAATATTCTCAAGCACGACGTTAAACCCAATTTCACCTCACCTTCAATTCACTCAGTATCTTCTTCATTGTTAACATACACATGTATCGCTATGCTAGTGAAAAACTCTAGAACACATCATTAAACTCCACTCCAACGTGAAGTAGTTGTTTTCTATTATCTGTAATATTATCAAAATACCCATTACTGAGTTAAATTACAAAGGACCCATAGATTTACTAGCTCACATTTTCTTGAAAAAGAAATTTAAGCAGACCATTTCAGATCAAAAAATGCTTTTCTTAAAAATGCTACCCCAAAAGTGTGTAGCTCTGCTTCATCTTATACTACCTGCCATCTTCAGAAATTATTTTCAACACTACAATTGTGAGAAAATTACACAGCATCTGGCACACAAAAGTGCTTTTCAAATTATTTGTTGCACTAATTGTTTTTAGAATTAGTAAACCAGTTAAACCCACTTCAACCTAACTGAATAGAAAAGAATAGAAATTTATTCTTCCATGTGCTCCATTTTTTAGGGTCAGTTAATCTAAGTGAACAGAAAAGATTCATCTTCGTTAATCTGGTATATCTAGAATATTATCAATCTGGTATATCTAGAATATTATTACTGCACCCTGTGCCCACAGAGGTTACATCATGCTCTATTAACAAGGCTTCAGTCAGCATACTCACATGACTATGTAGTGCATGAATGTATTGATCACAAACGGCAGAGTGTATCACGTAAGCTAAAGTTGGTATATAGTGAAATGTAGTGAAAACAGGTGTACTGTTGCCTTGAACATTATTGAGCTTATACAGGGATGTGTGAGAGTGGCTGTTTGTTCTGGTTTCATAGTCAGTGTTCACGAATAGCGTCTGACCCTCTGACAAATCCGGCAGATTTGCCAACGGTCCAACAGAAGTCTACAACCCGCCGGCCCAAGTGTCTGACTGTGCATTTCACAATGACTTTGACTGAAGTTGTTTTATGTGACATGTGACACCTGTTTGCTGTTTATAAATCTTATGTTTGTTAATAATTTCAATGTCAATTATAAGAAATATTAAATCTGAAATGTGTGTTTAATTTTATTCCATGGGTCTTGTGCATTTTCAGTGGGTCAGACAGACATCTGAAACTTACAGGACCCAATGTCCTGTGACTTTGAAACACCATTCGTGAACACTGCATAGTACAAGCCAACTGAGCTGTTTAACACTGACACCTGGGTCAACATCTAGTCTCTGAAACATATTTTACAGAAAAAGACAGTTCAATAAATATAATCATGAAATATAATGAAAAGGAGTCCAGAGACTTTCTTCACTTTCAGCCTGAAACAGCGGTAATCTAGCATTGCTACATAGTCTACATTTGCATGGGCTTTCTAGGATATATTTGTTTTGGGGTCTGGATGATAGACAAACTGACATCATTTTCCTGAGGAAAGAATGTCTAGAAACTGGCTTTGATAATGATATAGACTAGTGGACACTCTTGCCTTAAGAAAGATGCCAGTCAAAATGCCAAAAGGTCACAGATGCTGACCATTGGTGCCTTATCTGGTAGCTAGCTGTTATTGATACAAACAGAACCAATCTTCCTTGGAAGTTGGAATTCAAACAGTGCCCATGTTGTTCATATCTGTAAACACTGACTTGATAATGATACCCAGATTTTGATTAAAGATTTATAATCCAGACAATCCAGTGATCAACAGCATGAGCATAAATCTACACAGTTGGGATACTATGACATGTGTCCACGAAGTCAGTGAGCCTGACCACCCGATCCCGTTAGTCGCCTCTTACGACAGCCTAGAAAAAATAAATGACGTGTAATCTTGTGCAAGTTCCTTATAATTTGCGTTGGCGATAGTTTGTTCTCAGCGATACTTTGTCTCCAGACAGTTTTTAAAATGTGAGTGAGTTTAGCTTTATGCTGCTTTTAGCAATATTCCAGCTATATCACTGGTGGTGGTGGGTGGTCCTGTGCATTCAGATGAGGTCACAATCAGTCTAAGTAAACTTAGGCTCAGTATTATTCGTTACACTACTATAATGAGTCTAACAAAACCTAGTAGAAGGTCGCATCAGCTAACCTTTGGGACTAACCAATCAGAACACAGCTTACCAAATCGCGAAAGTTAACATTCACACATACCGTTTGAATCTTTATCCAAAAAACTCGAACGAGTCTGAATGCTATTTTCCGCCCGACGATCGCTTCCAAGTGATACACGCAATGAGTAAACAGTCGCTGAAAATAGCGTTTTTGTCAACATTCAAGGATGTTATCTTGCAAGCAAATAGTAACTATGTCATTAGAAACCCATCAGCATATATACTGCAGGTCAAATAGCTGTGTTTTATGCAGATTTTTGTTTGTTGATAGATCAGTGTCAGTGACCTGGGAAGAGAAAATCCAAAAAACATTTTGTAAGTCCCGCCGAACCCTAACAAGAAGTCGTTGTCTGATTGGTTAAATCCGCTTGGCCATCATGTTTGATTGGACGGTCATAGGTCACTCAAAGGTTAGCTGACGCGACCTTCTACTAGGTTTTGTTAGACTCAGTATACCAGTGTAATGAATAATACTGAGCCTAAGTTTACTTAGACTGAGGTCACAATCAGTTGAAGTTAAGCATTGTCAGTTTAAGCAACGTTGTGCTCGGACAGTCCTTGGATGGGTGACAGTGTTTGGCAGTTAAACTCCAGAGAGTTTCTAGGACTTCAGTCCTGCCCCACAACGAAGCACATGTGAAACATATGGTCTCACCTTAGGCAAGTGAGTTTGTTCAAAACTGCCTCTGTTCACCCAGCAGAAAATGTGTACCCGGTGAACATGGTGAAATAAGTTGTGAGACTATTAACCTTCTTAGGCGCTAGAAGTTCTAGCGCCTAACCATGCTAACAGGCAGCTTGGGTTATCCGGTGTAATAATGATCAGACTGTGCGCTTTCAGCAGGATATCTAGCCTGGAAAAGGCGCGTTATCAATATTCTCATTTTTATTATTATGATGACGGGGGACACCAGAAAGGGCTGCACACAATGTACCCATGTGGGGAATCGAACCTGGGTCTCCTCCCCATGATGGATGAACGCTTTAACCTCTTGGCTACCCCACCACCCCAAAACGATATGAACGTCCTTTTATTGTTATTTCATTATCATATGTACATGTATCTTGTATATAGACTGGTGAAACCCATCACTCCCCCATATGCTTGAAAACGGTATAAGAATCTATACCGAAATGTCGCCATTGTTAAATAAACAAGTTGAACATCCATAAAGTTTTGCTATCCCGAATCTTGAATTAAAATATCAGATGTGAACAAACATATATAAGGAGGCAAAATTCAGCAGTAACACTACAATATATATTAATATAAATAATACATTGATAAATACACAAAATAATGACACAGAAGCAATTTCCTTCCAAGATCTACATATATTAACCTTATCTCCAGGGAGTGATTACTGCTCTCCACATCTACAAAATTACTGTAGTTCAAATTTAAATAAAGTAAAACTGTTAAAAGAACCGATGCTATAGTCTTATATACCTTGTAGTATTTCTTAAAATTTGTAATATGCAAAAAACAAAGTAGAATTTTTATCATTTTCTCCTGAAAGTTGAGCAGACGACAAACAACAAATGCATGATATTTTCAGCATCTCATGCACACGTTCACTCATTGTGTCGTGATTTCGTTTTGAAAAGGACATGCCCTATTTTTAAGCTTCTTTCAAATTTAATTTGTCTTGGTGGACATGATTCACATAGCAAATGCGCGCAGTCTTAAAAGGTCAAGCTGATGCACTATGTCAAGGGGTTCCCCTTCAGCTCAAACCGAAGCGACATCAAGGCTACTTGACCACACCTATTTTGTTTGCCATTTTGCATTAACGGGAATATTGCCTCCTTGTTTACAGAACCTGTTTGGGGATGAAAACTCACCGTACTCCTTTGAATCCACCATTTCAATCTCTTCATCTGCGGGCTCCCCTTCATCCTCTTTATTTCCACAACAACCCATTATTTCAAATTTCCCTCACTGAAGTCGATAAGGTATCTCACGTAAGTGTGCACAATCTAGTGTCTTTGATCAGCAGCTGATATCGCGCCGCTTCCTTGTTTACAAAACTACCCCCTCTAGCGGCAGGCTTTACGCACATTTGCATGGGGGAAAGAAGGCTTTTGAAGCACCCATAAAATCTAACTTCAGTGTCGATATAAACCATTTTGCTTCCGAATCTCACTTTACACTTGTGAGTTTAGCTTTACACCGCTTTTAGCAATATTCCTGCAATATCACGGTGGGGGACACCAGAAATGGCCTGCACACGATGTACCCATGTGGGGAAGTGAACCCGGGTCTTCGGCGTGATGGGCGAACGCTTTAACCACTAGACTGCCCCATCGCCCCTAACACTTGTCTAATATTGTCAGTACCAGGCGCTACCCGGAATGTCTTGTATTATATGTAATTTTAACCTTAAAATATCAGTGAAAAAACAAACAAACAATTTTCATGATCAAATAGATTGACATGTCACACCTGTGAATTAGAGTTCTTCATCAGACAGAGTTGCGACCCTTGGGCACACCAGGAACATATGATTGTGGGTTCGAATGTTTTAGGTTTGCCAGCACCACAGGCTACAGCAGCTCGTAGGTTTCACCAAAAATGCTACTCGTCTGAAAACAGCACCAGTTGAGGCTCTTCCATCCTCGGTAATCTCCTACTACGTCTGAATTAATCAGCACTACAGTGGAGATGAGGTGGAGATTACTCTTCCATCCTTTATAGATAGTAGTAATTACTACAACTAGGGAGATATAGCTAGTAGTGGAGATTACTACAACTACTAGTGGAGATTTATAGCTAGTAGTGGAGATTACTACAACTACTAGTGGAGATTTATAGCTAGTAGTGGAGATTACTACAACTACTAGTGGAGGTTTATAGCTAGTAGTGGAGATTACTACAACTACTAGTGGAGATTTATAGCTAGTAGTGGAGATTACTACAACTACTAGTGGAGATTTATAGCTACTAGTGGAGATTAGTGGAGATTATAGCTAGTGGAGATTACTACAACTACTAGTGGAGTGGATTTATAGCTTAGTGGAGATTACTACAACTACTAGTGGAGAGGAGATTACTTATAGCTTATAGCCAGTAGTGGAGATTACTACAACTACTAGTGGAGATTTATAGCTAGTAGTGGAGATTACTACAACTACTAGTGGAGGTTTATAGCTAGTAGTGAAGATTACTACAACTATAGAGGAGATTTATAGCTAGTAGTGGAGATTACTACAACTTCTAGTGGAGATTTATAGCTAGTAGTGGAGATTACTACAACTACTAGTGGAGATTTATAGCTAGTAGTGGAGATTACTACAACTACTAGTGGAGATTTATAGTTAGTAGTGGAGATTACTACAACTACTAGTGGAGATTTATAGCTAGTAGTGGAGATTACTACAACTACTAGTGGAGATTTATAGCTAGTAATGGAGATTAATAATATTCAGGGTTTAAATAAACCCATTGCCCGACGCCCGGTTCGAGTGGAATTCTCCGGTCGGTCAAGTAAATATCTGCATTAAACTTTACCGTGGTACAGTAGTGCCAGACTACTGAAATGTTTTGATACTAAAGTATTTTGATGATGAAATAAATATGCAGTTGCTGCCAATTGATAAAGATTTTTTGCAAAAGAAACCAAATTGTTAATTGTGGTGAAGTGAAATTAATATTTGGTGAAATGGATTTTTGGTCACGTGAAGTTTACTGGACCTGTGTCCAGTGGAGTTTTGAAAAAAATTCAACCCCTGATTATCGAGAATGGGGCTCTCCTCCCTGTAAAGAAACTTAACTAGCAGGGGCGGTGGAATAGCCCAGTGGTTAAAACGTTCGCTCGACACGCCGAAGACTGGGTTTGAATCCCCACATGGGCACAATGTGTGAAGCCCGTTTCTGGTGTCCACCGCCGTGATATTGCTGGAATATTGCTAAAAGCGGCGTAAAACCATATTCGCTCACTCACTTAACTAGATCGAGATATCTTAAGCGACGTTCCCATGTGGAGTCTTACATCGCCATCTCATCATCGAAACATCGCGCCATGCAACTAGGGTGTCCCCCGCCGTGATATTGCTGGAATATTGCTGGAATATTGCTAAAAACATGCAACAAACAAGAAGTAGTTATCAATGAAGTTGTGCTTCATTACTGGCTCAGCAAGTTTTTGAGTGTCGACGAAACAAATATGCATGTGGACATTAAACGTGTTTTCTAAGACGCTTCGCTAAAAGATCAAAGGCGCGGACAGTACTGTATTATACTATACATGGTGGTAGAGCGAACTGTATTTCTTTCCTAAGATGCCAAATTTAATACTTTCTAAGGATAATTACGATTAATTTAAGGCAGAAAACGGTGACCTAAATTAAGAATCCTCGCACAGGGCTAACTGACGCGCTGTTCTATTGATGTGTCTGCCCCCAACGTTAAGATGAACGTTACCAGAAAAAAACAAATGATAACAGTTTGATGACGGTGTACGTTCGGATTAAATATCTTCTCTGAATTATTTTAATTACATGTGTCATTAACGTAAACCATATGGGGCAATATGAACGTCGCATTTCTACTATCAACCTAAGTTTAGATCAGTACATCCAGATGAAGCTGAGTAGTCAAGCGACATTCCACGATTGCATTGTGGGAATGTAAACATTGCGAACGTTACCGTGTCACTGAAAACTTGTCAGCCGAATTAAGACATTTTAACCGTCGTAAAACATAAACGTAATGTTTCCACCAGTGATGTTAGCTGCGTGAAGCAACTGCAAACCAAGAAACGGGATGCAACGGAGTAGTTTACTGTAGGAGGCCTTACGAGTCGATGACAACTGACATGCATCGTGACGTCGCTTACGTTGTGACGTAATGCAAAAATGGTTCGATTACGAAGGGGCAGACTAGAATGGCGCAGCCAATACATTGTGACGTAATGCAAAAAGTGCACATTATCGTCTGATAAAGTTCTGTCGGCGCCTTTGATCTTTCACCGAAGCATCTTAGGGCCTGTTCGATTATTGCGAAACTGGTTTAGCTTTTTGAAACTGGTTTCTCTTGTTATTAACCAGTGTCTAGTTTCGGATACATGGTTTCAAAGTGAAACTTTTTTCTAGTTTTATAAACGAGTGGATGGTTTCATCATCTGGTTTCAAAATGGATACCCCAAAAAATGTCTCAGCTACTGTATATGTGGAACGAACTGCATGACAGCATGTGTTTTTCATTTTATCAGTGAATTAACAAATAATAAAGAGATGAAAATATTTGCGTATATGTAATTATACTGTTACAAGTAATTATATATATATATACAAGTTACATAAAATAATCATGTTCAACAGACTGGGGTTTTAAATAATATTTTCCTAGTTCTCAGTTGATTTTTAATCATTATTTTGGTTCCCAAAACTGCTGCTCTATTTTGCCACCAAGATCAGCTGAACTTGGCGCTTCGTTTCCGCCATCTGTTTGTTGTGAGAGAGCGCGAAACTGAACTGCGAAACCTGCCTCGGAGATGGTTTCGAAGTTTCAGAACCCAGTTTTAGGTTTCGACATAATCGAGTGCATGGTTTTCCCGAAACCAAAACCGGTTTAGCTTAATCGAATAGGCCCTTAGAACAGGCGATAAACACACTTTTTAGCATTACGTCATACTCTATTGACGTCACTACGCCGTTCTCGTCTGCCCCCTCGTTATCAACTGTACCCATGGAGCCGAGTAACGATGCATGTCAGTTGTCATCGCCTCATATCGCCTACACCTCATATCGCCTACACTTCATATCACCTACACCTCATTTCGCCTTCACCCTTATCAAAACAAATTTAGGGTTGACTGCACATCACGTAAATGCTGTTATACCTTTAGAAAAGTAGACTGTTCCACTAATGAGGTATACCTCCGCTAATCCTAGAGACAACAGTCTCTATGTAGGTCGTCATCTGCCAGGGTCACAGGGGGTCGGCAGGACAGCAGACAGCAAACCAGGTCTACCTTGCCACGCAGACTCACACTCAGGTCCGCAGGTCCTACGTTGATGAGGTCGCACCACAGAAGGTCTCTCGTCTCTATATATAGTCCCCTGTTTTCTATCTTACTCATACTTGCTTGACAACGATACAAGAATCTGTATCGAAACGTCGCATCTACCGAATAAAGAAGTTGTTTATCCATAAAGTTTGTCTGTAGATTACTCTCAAACTTCTAAACAATGCCACTCACAGAAGTTATCCGCAGTCTACATGGAGACGTGGCAATCCACACCATAAACTTACATCCCTAGAGGACTACAAATCCGTTCACCCATCCAGTCTGCAGCAGCGAAAACCATCCTCCATCAAGCCTCCAAATGACTCCTGACAGAACGTATCAGACATCATCGGAAGATGATGGCCACCACCATCGCCTCCATCCATGGTCACCAGTCAGCCCTTAGTGCCAGCCTCGACCCAGAGTTACACACCTAATTAAGAACTGCCCAAACCACCGCAAACAACAAACTCCACGCCTCTACTAAGACATTAAGAAGTTCCAGCAACTCACCGCTCACAAGAGAAGAGGAAACCCTGCCCCACCAATAAAACTGTAGTGAACCTAAGCAAGAAACAGCTCACCCCACAACAAACCAGTGTCCTTGCCAAAGGGCTCAAATTTGCCCCGAAGCCACCCAAGATCAACGTAGATCTGTTCATCACGAACATTGAGAAGGGGCTTCAGCAACTGGCCCCTGGGGGCAAAGTTGACTACCTCCGCCACCAGATCAGCAACATCCTCCAGAAGACACAACCTCAAAAACCCAACCTCACCAAATCCGACAGACTGGCCATCAAGTAACTCAAGCAAGATCCAGATATCATCATTGTCCCAGCTGACAAGGGTAGGGCCACCGTGATGTTAGACCAGCCCCACTTCCACTCCATGGTGGAAAACATGCTGCAAGACACAACCACCCATAAGAAGATCCTGAAGGACCCCACCAATAAACTTCACCGACAGCACAAGGCCTGCCTCAAGACACTCCGTGATAACTATGAACTATCTGTGGACTTACATCGAAAACTTTCAATATCTCATCCCTAAAGTCCGTATGCCAGAGCAACAGTGAAAATCCACAAGAACCCAGTCAAAACTCGCCTCCTGATCTGTTCCTGTGATACTGTTTTCTATGATACTGCTCAACAGCTCGCCCGAGTGCCTGCCCCATTAGGTAAACCTGCTAAATCATTCATTTTGGACTCTTCTGAATTTTGAAAGAAACTCTGTGAAATATCTGACCCTGGCCCCATTATCAGTTATGATGTTGTGGACATGTTCACTAACGTACCACGAGAAGAAGCCCTCCTTGCCCTGCGACAACGACTCGACAACCTTGAACAACCCCCTAGATATCAACCTCAGCATCGACTCCATAATCAGCCTAACCTCTGCCTGCATTGATACAACCTACTTCACCTGGGGTGAAGATCTCTACGACTAAATACATGGACTGCCCATGGGCTCCCCACTATCACCTATTCTCAGTGACATATACTTGACAGACCTCGAAGAGAGAGCCCTCCTGACTTCACCTGTCAAACCCATGTGCTGGCACCGCAAGGTTGACGACACGTCAACGTTTTCCCACATATATGGTGTATTAAAGTACCTTTTCCCCTGAACTATTATAACGTAAAAGCACTCGGATGCTGGCGTCCTTGTACTTTAACTATAATAGTTTACGGCGGCGTCGTCCAATTCTTTCATATGAACGTTGAAGCCTTGTAATATGGCTTAACACTGCACAAATAATGCCTAAAGCTAAAAAAGTAGAACTAGTATTCTTTGTATCAATGGTTGGTTGGTATTATACATCAGGTATGGTTAAAACATCCGCTCATCACGCTGTAGATCCGGGTTCGATTCCCTACATGGGTACAATGTGTGAAGCACATGAGTGGTATCCCCCGCTTTGCTGTTGCTGGAATATATCTAAAAGAGGCATAAAACCATACTCACTCCTCCACCCCACCCATGAAGGTCCGGGTTAGAATAGAATATTGATCTTCAGTAACCCATGCTTGTCGTAAGAGGCGACTAACGGGATCGGGTGGTCAGGCTCGCTGACTTGGTTGACACATGTCATCGGTTCCCAATTGCGCAGATCGATGCTCATGCTTTTGATCACTGGATTGTCTGGTCCAGACTCGATTATTTACAGACCGCCGCCATATAACAGGAATATTGCTGAGTGCGGCGTAAAACTAAACTCACTCACTCCTCCACTCAAACCAAGCACAACAGCAGACAAGCGCCTGTAAAATCACCATTATTCCGTTACAGAAGTTACAGAACCAGAAAAAATTCCACATATCAATCGACGAAACTCCCAATATCAAGAGTCGTTATCAACAAACAATATTCCCAATAAAACTGGGAAGCAGCTAGATAGCTATTTAAGTACACGTGCAACAACAACATTGACTAGACAACAATGGTGGTTATTTTGTTGTTAAACGCCGCACTCAGCAATATTCCCGCTATATGGCGACGGTCTGTAAATAATCGACCAGACAATCCAGTGATCAACAGCATGAGCATCAGTCTACGCGCAGCTGGGATACGATGACATGTGTCAACCAGGTCAGCGAGCCTGACACTCGATCCCGTTAGTCGCCAGTTACGAAGTTAGTAAGAAGATAATGCTAAACGTCGTGCCCCTCATAGTACAGAAGCTGAGATCGATACAATGTCACCCTTCGTGTGTATCACCTTTAGATTGGGCTGGTGGGATAGCCTAGGGGTTAAAGCGTTCATTCGTCACCCCGAAGACCCGGGTTTGAGTCCCCACATGGGTACATAGTGTGAAACCAAATTCTGGTGTCTCCCGCCGTGATATTGCTGGAACATTGCTAAAAGCGGCGTAAAACTAAATTCACTCACATCGTTTGAACTGACTGGAGACAAAGTATTGCTGAGAATATATTATCGCCAACGAAATTTATAAATATGTTGCACGAGATTATACCTCGTACCCACTCACTCACTTCACTCAAAGCCTTTACAGTTATCAAAACTTGACAAAGTTATTATAAACGTGCGTGAGCTGCATTGTATATATTTGTTTCAAGTGCTGCGTACAGTAAGATGATTAATTTCGTGGCGGTGGCCTAGCGTGCGCTAGCGTATTGCCGTAATTCGTGGGAAGCTCAATGTAGCGTGATATCATGACAGGTCGATGTCCCGGCTGGTGCTGTTCATGGCTGCTCATGGTCCGATGTCCCGGCTGGTGCTGTTCATGGCTGCTCATGGTCCGATGTCCCGGCTGGTGCTGTTCATGGCTGCTCATGGTCCGATGTCCCGGCTGGTGCTGTTCATGGCTGCTCATGGTCCGATGTCCCGGCTGGTGCTGTTCATGGCTGCTCATGGTCCGATGTCCCGGCTGGTGCTGTTCATGGCTGCTCATGGTCCGATGTCCCGGCTGGTGCTGTTCATGGCTGCTCATGGTCCGATGTCCCGGCTGGTGCTGTTCATGGCTGCTCATGGTCCGATGTCCCGGCTGGAGCTGTTCATGGCTGCTCATGGTCCGATGTCCCGGCTGGTGCTGTTCATGGCTGCTCATGTCCCGGCTGGTGCTGTTCATGGCTGCTCATGGTCCGATGTCCCGGCTGGTGCTGTTCATGGCTGCTCATGGTCCGATGTCCCGGCTGGTGCTGTTCATGGCTGCTCATGGTCCGATGTCCCGGCTGGTGCTGTTCATGGCTGCTCATGGTCCGATGTCCCGGCTGATGTTCATGGCTGCTCATGGTCCGATGTCCCGGCTGGAGCTGTTCATGGCTGCTCATGGTCCGATGTCCCGGCTGGTGCTGTTCATGGCTGCTCATGGTCCGATGTCCCGGCTGGTGCTGTTCATGGCTGCTCATGGTCCGATGTCCCGGCTGGTGCTGTTCATGGCTGCTCATGGTCCGATGTCCCGGCTGGTGCTGTTCATGGCTGCTCATGGTCCAATGTCCCGGCTGGTGCTGTTCATGGCTGCTCATGGTCCAAGCCTCCAATTCCATCCTGACAATGCGACACCACACACAGCTGTTTTTGAAACTAAATTAAAATATATTTATCAGCAAACATGGATCTCAACAATTGAAACCTCATCCAAAGCAACCACTTATAACATTTTCAAAAATCCATCTCTCAACTTTGAACCATACCTAAATTTTCTGCATTACAATAACTTGTTACAATTCCGAACTTCAAATCATTTTCTTCCAATAGAGACAGGTAGATGGCGACGAATCCCAGTAAATGATAGAAAGTGTACTATGTGTAACCTAAATTATATTGGTGACGAATTTCATTATTTATTTATATGTCCCAAATTAGAATTAGAAAGAGAAAAATATATCCAGAAATATTATTATATTAGACTAAATATGTATAAAATGTATATCCTATTTAACACCAAGAAACTAGGAACTTTAAGAAAACTCTAATTTTTTGTAAAATAATTATGGCTTTATTTAAGAAATAATTTCAATAACTTAATATGTAACTAGCTCGATGTACATTGCACCTATCATGCCGTTTGTATATACTTTTTATGTTGTATAAATATAAATATTATTTATGTACCTCTTATGCTGCAGTTTGCAGCCTGAGTGAATAAAAGTTCAGTTCAGACACTAAATACCCTGCAAAATGTCATGGCCATGGAGATAACCTTACCTCAATCCCATCGAACACGCGAGGGGTGCTGATGGGAGAGACCTTCATGCCTTGAGACGTCAACCCCAGAATGTTCAAGAGCTGGGCGCCATACAGCAAGGGCCAAGGTTGCCTAGCTAATATGCTGTGTTCACGGGTGTAAGGCAGTTAAGTGTTAGACAACGTTGCCTTGCTCTTGTGAATGCGGGGGTGGGGCATACACAGTACTAGTGGTGGTCCGATTAATTGAAATAATCGAAGATTGGTCGCAGTGACTAAACGACCAAGCAATCGATCATGATTTCTCATAATCGAACACAAACAATTCTGGAACACTTGTTTTCATCAACAATATTTTTCACAAGGTTGGTTTTATCTATTACATTTCATAAGCACTACAAGCTTGTTCCAAGTCGTGATTGAATTCATCTTAAAGACACCAAGAAATTTATGTTCCTAACATACTAGTCATCCTTTAAAGATGTGAAATTTTGCCCAAAACACCCCAAAAATAACTACATGTTTTTTCCTTATTTTTGTGTGCATTTACAAATTTCATAAATGACGCTAACCAAATATTTGCGATGATTGATCGGTGGTAATGAACCAATCATCAATTATGAGATTTTAACCAAGTCTCAACACTATACAGTACTGAACAAGCTCCAATTCATTATTGCAAGTCCATGTGAAGTAAATGTTTTCCCTGTTGGAGAAGTCCTCAACAATGGATATATATTCCGTTGTTTGGTGCAGTCTTTTTGACCTTTGGCCTAACACAGACACAGTAAAAGTCGGCCAAGATATCAACGACCTCGTATGTGCAAGTTCAAATCTGGTATGTGGCCCAAATATTGATTCCGACCAGAATGCAATACCTCAATGGAGTATTGTCTTCCTAAGTACATGGAGTGTTTCTTTAACATATGTGATGCCTCTGTGTATGTATACACAAAGAACTTAGTAAGCACCCCCTGACATATCTCACGATTGCATGGGCCCCGATCTTAACTCTTTGGAGCATATCTGGGACATGATTGGTCGTCGTGTGCAACAAAGAGATCCTCCTGAACAGAACCTGGCCCAATTGAAAGCTGCTTTACACGAGGAATGGCGTAGACTGCCAGGATCAGGACGCTGACAGGGGGTATGAGGAGGAGAGTGCTGACTGTCATACAGTCACATGGAGGTTACACTCGGTATTGACCTTGAATCGTGTAAGACACGCAAAATGACATTTTGAATGTTCACATTCACCAATAAATTCAACATTAAACATTCCAGGGCCATACTTCTACAGACATGGTTTGTATGAAATGAGTGGTTTAGTTGTTTGTTTTTTGTTTATTAAGTGAGCAATTATCATCATTAAATCAACATGGATTCCAATCATTCTGTCGTTTTTCATCAGTCAAAAGATCGTACGGTTCAGAAAAACTCATGTTATTCCATCGTGGTCACCAAGAGAAGTTTTATGTACGTGTTGAAAACCTATCACTGCAAAAATACAGGGGGTGCTTAATTAAGTTCTTTGTGTATATTTCCTATACCTTTGAATCTTTAGTCGTTTACCTTGCTTAGCCCGGTTACACAGTGAACGAAGCATCTGGCAAATCTCCACAAATGAGCTACTGTTTACATAATTCATGATCTAAACATAATTCATGATTTTTCTACTTCGACCAGGCTTCTTCGAACTTAGGAAACTATAAGTCATTTGAGAAGATCAAGAGATGGATGCTGCGCGATGTATAAGACGGATGTAAACGGAGAAATTTCGAAGAAAGTTGCTGTACAAATACAGTAATATAACTATCGGAGATATTTAAAATGTTCCCTCAATACGATAACGGTTAAGATCACCAGTGAGATTATTGTGAAAGATGGTAATATATAAGTACTTGTCCTACATTCCTATGTTATATAATTGTTAGAGACACGGGACATCATCGTTACAGGTGGGACAGACACTTTCTTCTATAGGTATATGGGGGTTCTCTCTTACACATATACACATGTATTCCCATTATTGAGAAAGGTAGCGACGCAAGCTCTCCATCACACATATAACTGTATATATGCCCAATGGTTAGTGGAAGCGTTAAAGCAACTTATTCAGCCACATATTTTCGGCCGACAGTATCATCTTTAGTACTAGTGCCAGGCCTACCATCAGTGTTTAAACTCCCAAAATTCCAAGCCAGACAGCCGGACTGGTAACTTAAAAAACTTACCAGTCCGGATACAAACTTGCCTGTCCGGTTTTCAACAATGAAAAAATAATCAGGTTTCTGAATACTTTACTGTTTGTAGGCATCGCAATGAACAACATAGCACTATAACAGGCAATGCACCGAGTTTAAGTATACTCAAAGTACATGTGTTGTGATTGGTTATTGTAAATGAACTGTCCAATCATAAATAGTTTAACAATTATCATAATATCTTAAACACCTCAAACTGACGAGAACCTGCATGATATTATGAAATATTTACTGTTAGGGGTAAAAACATCTACCAGACCACCGGACAGGTTACTTTTGAAATTTGACCGTCCGAGATGAAAATAGACTGTTCCAGACGGTTGGACAGGCGGGAATTTTAAACGCTGCTATCATCGTATATTTATAACTTTCTTTATCTCTCATAATCAAAGGTGAAACAGCATAGGGTTGCCTCGGTAAAAATAATTTGACATTCGATTCATTGTCCTATTATTTAAACTACCACAAGAATATTTAAATTACACACGCTTGTTGATTACCTGGCTGTTCTACCAGCAAGTGGTCCCCCTCGTAAAACATAGCGAAAAGTGACAACAAAATAATGATATTTTGTTACACAGCTTTTGTATTCGGGTTTCCAAAATTATGAGACAAATCATCAGAGTTGGTCTGTCGATTTCATGTGACTGTGCAAAATTGGGTTTTGTTGCAGTTATTAGATTTTGTGTTCGTGAGGAATTCATCGGTCTCAAATGAAATCAAACGGACCGAAGGCGAGCCATCATCCACTACTGTCAACATGTATATGGTGTGTATGTATATGGTGTGTATGTAAATAGTGTGTATGTATATGGCGTGTATGTATATGGTGTGTATGTATATGGCGTGTATGTATATGGCGTGTATGTATATGGTGTGTATGTATATGGTGTGTATGTATATGGTGTGTATGTATATGGTGCGTATGTATATGGCGTGTATGTATATAGTGTGTATGTATATGGTGTGTATGTATATGGTGTGTATGTATATGGTGTGTATGTATATGGTGTGTATGTATATGGTGTGTATGTATATGGTGTGTATGTATATAGTGTGTATGTATATGGTGTGTATGTATATGGTGTGTATGTATATGGCGTGTATGTATATGGCGTGTATGTATATGGTGTGTATGCATATGGTGTTTATGTATATGGCGTGTATGTATATGGTGTGTGTATATGGCGTGTATGTATATGGTGTGTATGTATATGGCGTGTATGTATATGGTGTGTATGTATATGGTGTGTATGTATATGGTGTGTATGGTGTATGTATATGGTGTGTATATGGTGTGTATGTATATGGCGTGTATGTATATGGTGTGTATGTATATGGTGTGTATGTATATGGCGTGTATGTATATGGCGTGTATGTATATGGCGTGTATGTATATGGTGTGTATGTATATGGTGTGTATGTATATGGCGTGTATGTATATGGCGTGTATGTATATGGCGTGTATGTATATGGCGTGTATGTATATGGTGTTTATGTATATGGTGTGTATGCATATGGCGTGTATGCATATGGCGTGTATGTATATGGTGTGTATGTATATGGTGTGTATGTTTATGGCGTGTATGTATATGTGTGTATGTATATGGTGTGTATGTATATGGCGTGTATGTATATGGCGTGCATGTATATGGCGTGTATGTATATGGCGTGTATG